AAGAGGAGTATGAGGGGAAATGCGGTAGGATACAGGATGGAATAGGGATAAGATGGAGGCAGGATAAGTTAGAGATAAAGATAAGCAGCAGAAAAAGCAGGGGAAAGGAGTAAAAGTGGGAGAAACTAGCATGGAAGTAGAAGGGAGTGAAAGAATGAGGGAACAAGGAGAGGGTGCAAATACGAGGAGAGGAATAGAAGGATAGAAGAAAAGGGTGGTGGGGAAGGAGGATAGGTGATGGACAAGGTCCGTGGGGGGGGGAGGTTGAAAAATTCACAAGTGTGTGTGTGTATTTATGTACAAATAGACAAATAGATAGATATACACACATTTTCTCCCTGAAAAATATATTGCTTTTGTTTCTCATTTACGATAATCACTAGAAGATAATAGAGTTGAACATCTGTCAGCACAGCATTTCATTCACAGCAAAATGAACAAGCGATGAAACTCAAGAATCCCTGTGGATTCATTAACCAAGGAAATGAAGAAAGATGATGGAAAAGAAAATGAAAAAGAAGAGGAAAAAAACTATTATTTGGCGTGCCTTGAAAGATCATTAGTGAGGCAGCCTTTCCTCGACCAATTAAACTTGAACTCGGGGTTTTCTTCAAGGGACACACACATACGTACACACAGTAGTTCCGAACGCTTGCGCTTGATTGACGAGGGGTATCAGGTAAGATACTGTAATTTAATTTACTCGTGTGTACTTAACTTGTACGACACAAACGTTATAGCGTCTATTGTATAGTACGCTATAAACAACGGAATTGTGTACTCACAGATATGGCTGCAAATTATTTACGTGTTCGAAAAGTTATGTGTTTCCTAAACACTTGAGTGCTTTCCTCAGTGTATTACATCAATTCAGTAAGCACTATGAATAAGTAACTGTAAATATAAACACATTCATTGGTTATCTTTATTGTTATTATTATCATCATTATTATCATTATCATATTATTATTGTCATCATTACTATTATCATTATTGATATCATTATTATTATTATTGTTATTATTATCATTCTAACGATTCATTATAATATCCTTCTACCATATTATCATTAAATTTTTTTTTCATCTTTTAATTTATTTTTGGTTTAGTTTCATTCACGTTGCTAACTGATGTCCATTGTTTTACGTGTCTGATAATTGTTGTTCATTCATAGAACGGCAGGTTGTAAAAAGCGAAAGTGAATGGTCTGTTTCCATCAAAGGCTTTTTGCCTCGCAGTTGAGATCCAATTCTTGCAATAGTATTTCGCAGAAGCGATCGCTCGGCGCTTGGCAAAGGAGTTTCAAACTGCTTGGATGTTTTTTCTTTGCTTTTCTTCCTTTTATTATCAATATTGTTATCTTCATCACCATCAAAATTTTATGATTTAATGAATATTATGATGATACAAATAAGTAAATGGCTTGTTTCCAGGGAAGTTTTATTCACATATATATAGTTTGGTAGGATGTTTAACGTTAGTTTCGGGAAAAATATTTTACAAACGTGATGGTCCGGAGGGTGACAAAGGAGAAAATTTGTTGCGTTGTCGTTGCTTGCATGCAAATTGCTTGGACGAACATTAAGTCTCATTTTTAATGTTGTTATTGCTATAACCACGTCATCATCAACAGTGTCACTACTATGAATATCCTTATCCTGATTTTTCATAGAACTTCTTTGTCATTGCCATTCCTAGTACTATGAGGAGTGCTATCAAAATTAGTGATATTGTCATTATATTATGCCTATTATCCTCATGGTCGTTATACCTATTTTCCTAATTATGTATATACATACACACACATACACACACACACACACACACACACACACACACACACACACACACACACACACACACACACACACACACACATATATAATATATATATATATATATATATATATATATATATATATATATATATATATATATATATATAATATATATATATATATATATATATATATATAATATATATATATATATATATATATATATATAATATATATATATATATATTATATATATATATATATATATATATATATATAATATATGTATGTGTGTGTGTGTGTGTGTGTGTGTGTGTGTGTGTGTGTGTGTATGTATGTGTGTGTGTGTGTGTTTGTGCGTGTGTGTGTGTACACACCCAAACACTCACTCACACACAAACACACACACACACACAACAGAGAGTCAGAAAGAGAGAGAGAGAAAACGCATCCCCCCAACGCGCCCTAATCTCTCCCAGCATCTCGGCCTTTCCTCTCCATAAATAGTCGAGGCACAGAACATCACCGATATCGGGGATTCTGAGGAGTCGCTCGTTGAGAACTACATCGATTTCTGAACGGCGTCTTGGAGGGACATCCGAAGAAGGGGGGGGGAAGGGGAAGGGGAGAGGAGAGGAGAGGAGAGAGGTTTGATGAAGGAGGAGAAATGGGAAGAGGAAGAGGGGGAGGAGGAGGAAGAAGAAGAAGAAGAGGATTAAGAA